TCGATTTTTGCAATTTAGCTTATGTTACCGTAATAAGGAGCCGACAAAATCTTAAACTGCGCCATATAAATTAAAGACTCAGTATAGTAAAGCTTAATTAGTATCACTATTTACTTTCACAAGTACTAGAGTTTATGTACCCTGTACTCATGTAAATTATACAAACAGCGGGCCAATATTCAAACGTCTCCACGGCAACGCTCTGACGATCACAAACACCTCTAGCTGAAGTGCAAACTAGTAGAATTTGTGTACGCTCTCTGAATATCATATAGTACATGAAAATACATGTACCACAAGATGTAGAATTTTGATTATATACCACGAAATAATACATTTATATAAAATTTCTCAACATGTTTATACAATATGTCCATTTGAGCTTCACCTGACTAACGAATTTCACTTTAAAGAAGGTTCACACACTTCATCATGCCCGCTCTTAACGACAATTTAAGGAAAAATCTTCCAATATTAAGTGCAAGTTTTTCTAACCACCAGGCAAATCAGCCAAAAAGCGGCAAGGTTGGGTTCTCACAGAATACACTCATTTTGCTCACATTTAATCACCTTTGTGACCTTAATTAAACTGTAAAATATTAAAGCTTTCAGTTGCGTTATTATTGTCAGAAAATTGGGATAAATCCCCTGAAATACAGTTTTGGGGCATAACATTTGGCAGAAGTTAAAAGTATTCTCAGGCAAGTATTTCAGCCCAATAAGGTCAAATTCTGTGAACCCCCACCCTGCCGCACTTGTCTGGTGCTTAAAAAAATTGGCACTTTTATTAAAAATGTAACACCCAGGCCTCGGTCTTGATCATGCGTGATGTCTTTGCTTTGTGTTTGAAAGAGTTGTATAAAATACAGGTCAAGTTTTTGATTTGGCCATTAATGGCACTGTATATGAAGACCTTTTTTGCGATCAATAAAGATAATTACCTATGTCTCTTCCTAGAACCAATGGGGATTGCATGGAGGGAAGTGTGGAGTATGTGGCGACCCCTACCAGGGACCTCGCCAAAACGAGGCTGGCGGGAAATACGCCAATGGAATCATAGTTAGGAACTATGCTCGTGGCCAGGTAAATATATACCAGAAAAAGTAAGAGTTTTCCTCGTCCTTATTTGGAGCGTTTACCAATAAACTATTGAATGAGAACTTACAGCTATCAAAATGCTGTAAGGCAGTTTTTCATGTTACTGCACAATTAAATGTTGTAAGAAAAAGAATGACACATTCTTAATATTCCAGTTTAAGCATGACACTGACATTTCAATTCTCAATATACTGTATGTAGCAGTATAGCTTGAACACTGAGTCATACGTATTATCTTTTTCATAAAGGAAATTGAGGTGAAGGTCGAAATAACCGCTAACCATAAAGGTTGGTTTGAGTTCCGACTGTGTCTTCACAACAGTCCTAGAACTCGTATCAGTCAGCAGTGTTTGAATCAACATCTCCTGCACATCACGGGTCACGGCACCAGGTTCACCATCCCCACAACGCTCGGAGTGGTGGCTCTCCGCGTGCAGTTACCACCGGAAGTGACGTGCAGGCAGTGTGTGTTGCAGTGGAAATGGCACAGTGGTGAGTGAGTTGATTAGAGAGTAGATGAGAAATATAATACGTAGTAATCAGTACTATGCAGTACTTACTATTTCTAAGGATAAAGTGCTCTCCAATTGTCGTAAATAGCGTAGGAATGTATCTTTAGGCACCAACGTAATTAAAACTACATGTAAAGAAATGTGCAAATGACCAAGCGCATTCTTTGGAAATGTGCCAATGCTAAATAACAATCGCTCATCGGTACTTAACTCCTTCTTTCTTCCAAGTAAGTTCATCTTTAGGCTGTCAGTAGTGGTCGGTGAGTGGTGTTGATGTTGTCCGTATAAATATCAGCAATATGATTTTAATCATAGGAAATAACTGGGGCACCGACCGCCAAACAAGGCAAGGTTGTCTTGGGTGTGGGCCCCAGGAGGAATTCTATGGCTGCTCAGACGTATCAATAGGTGGCGATAACGGCGGTGGCGGGTTGATACTGACAGAAACATCCGGTAGCAACGGTGTAAATTCTCTCAATGTTGGGACAAGGATAAAAGAAGGAAGAGATAGCACAGATACCAGAGTATCTCGCGGTCATGCGGAAGCTGATGTGGAGGAGAAATTGCGCACGGAGTCCCACCAATCTAGAACGGTCGTTAGAGGGCGATGTAAAGCTGCAGGTTTATATTGGAATGTAGACGGCGTTACGCGATGGTGCCAGTTGAACTGCGAGTTGGGGTTCTGTCCTCGCACGCACTGCGCATGCTTATAGTTGATTAAATGCAAATCACACGATATTGCTCCAGTGTCCAGAAGAAACCGAACTGAGATGGGTTTTGTCAAAGTGCAGTTCAAGTTTTATCATAGTTAATGTTTATACAACAGTACAGTGTAAATGACTTCTCATTCACTTTTATAAACGTATATATTACATATATGCATGTCTGCTCCATACAAGATAACATAGTGGCCATGTTTAATTTTGTAAATATACAAGTAGTCATTTACTCCAGAATATATATAATTTATGTGATGACGAAATACGCGTGCCACGTGTATCAACTTTTTTATATTGGGTTTTAATTATTAGTCTTCTATTGATAAAATTGTGGAAATTGAAATGGCAAGGGAGAAATTACTTTGTTTCACATATAATAAAAACAGAACAATTTATAGAAGTCCTTCACTTGAAAGGTTTCAAGCGTGGAAATGGTGCAGTTCATCATTTGTATATTGCAAACCCAATGTATTTCATAAGCGTATGGTACGAATTACAGGTAGTCTAATTTTCCTCACTGTGTGACCTTATGTCACCTTAACATTATCTTAGTGTCTGCTAATATTATCTTTGTTTTTTTATAATCCTTCTCTGAAATGATAAACCATTTTTGTCAAACCACTGTCACTACAAATAAAAGTTACGTTTTTATACCGGAAATAGAAACTGAATGTCGACCAGCATTTTTACGGTACTGTCAGATATACATACTGGTATGCTGTAAAGATCAAACGAGTTTTTATTTCGAAGTTAAGAAAAAAATAAATATTTGCTGATGCTTTTCAAACTCAGTTGGTTTTATCTTTGCATAAGCATACAGAAATCAATACATCATATTTACGGCAATGAATTTGGCCAATTTCATTCACTTTTTTGTGTCAAATTCATCCAAACTGATCATGTCGTCGCCATTTTTATCTTTCTCCGTAAATTCAGCATGGATGTCCTCAGACCTTGCGTTCCTGTTCAGGCCTTTTGCAGCACGAATGTATTCATCTCTGGACAGCTGCTCATTTCTGTAATAATATGGATTGTAATCAAAATGTGCTGTTCAGTTCTACTGAATTATGTGGCTCTATGGCTTATACTTGACTCTCTATAATTATACACATGGCTTTAACATGCATTTGATGATCTGCCTCTACACTTTTATTACATGATTAATCCAATTTAACAAAATAAACAGAGATGACCAGAACCGTCTCGACCCAAAGTTACAGACTTTTAAAATAAGCCCTGTGTAACCCATTGTAATGGGATCCTTGTATAGTACTACCGTTATACACTTTACACATCTGCTTTATTACAATTTAGCTACATCACTTACCTGTCTGTATCAGTGTTACTGAATACTACACTAGCGTCAATGCTGTAATCCACGCCTACATCACTTACCTGTCTGTATCAGTGTTACTGAATACTACACTAGCATCAATGCTTTAATCTACACCTACATCACTTACCTGTCTGTATCAGTGTTACTGAATACTACACTAGCGTCAATGTTGTAAGGTACTCTTGCATACGCGGACCTCTTATTGCCGCAGACACACCTTACATTCCTTATAAAAGCAAAATTAAGTTTATAACATTTCATAATGTATCCATATCGCAATGTATGCTTTGGTACATGTGGTGATAAATATATGAATAATTTGCCAAAAGCTTATGTTTTTCTCACCATTTGTGAAAAATTTGCACCCAATTTAACTCATTTTGTAAAGTAGTTTTTTGACCAACACGATCCCGAAAATGTGCTGTATTGCAGACAAATAACCCATATAATGTCGTTTCTCACGTAAACCAGCCGGTTGTCGACACACTTGAGCAACCGGATCTGCAGCCTCCCTCGCAGTTACACATAAGATGGTCGCAGCTTCCTACTCCACAACCCCACACCGTCTAAAACAAAGAGAGAATTGGCATAACTTGATTAACAGGTCACCCTCTTAACCGAGGTAGGTGTGACAGATATTTAAGTCGGTTAAGTTGACAGTATTTAGTGAGACTCGCCAGGGAGATAGATCGATCCAGATGGATCGATCTATACTAGGGATGGGAACCCAGTCATATACTGTACTAGGAAGTTTGCGTCATCTAATGTATCAGTTG